GTTGATGTTCATCAGGGATATTGGTCTGAAATTTTCCTTTTCTCTTGTGTCTCTTAGGTTTTAGTATCAGATTACCTCATAAAATGAATTGGGGAGGAGTCTCTCTTTTTCTGTAGTTTGGAAAAGTTTCAGAAGGAATGGTACCAGTTCCTCTTTGTACCTTTGGTAGAATTCGGTTGTGAATCTGTCTGATCCTGGACTTTTTTGGTTGGTAGGCTGTTAATTACTGCCTTAACTTCAGCTCTTGTTATTGGTCTATTCAGGGATTCGACTTCTTTCTGATTTAGTCTTGGGAGGGTGTATGTGTCCAGGAATTTATCCATTTCTTTTAGATTTTCTAGTTTATTTGCATAGAGGTGTTTATAGTATTCTCTGATGGTTGTTTGTATTCTTGTGGGATTGGTGGTGATCTGCCCTTTATCATTTTTTATTGTGATTCTTCTCTCTTTTCTTCTTTATTAGTCTGGCTAGCACTCTGTTTTGTTAATCATTTCAAAAAACCAGCTCCTGAATTCATTGATTTTTTTTTTTTTTGAAGTTTTTTTTCATGTCTTTATTTCCTTCAGTTTTGCTCTGATATTAGTTGTTTGTTGTCTTCTGCTTGCTTTAGAGTTTGTTTGCTCTTGCTTCTCTAGTTCTTTTAATTGTGATGTTAGGTTGTCAATTTTAGATTTTTCCTGATTTCTCCTGTGGGCATTTAGTGCTATAAATTTCCCTCTAAATACAGCTTTAGCAGTGTCCCAGAGAGTCTAGTACATTGTGTCTTTGTTCTCATTGGTTTCAAAGAACTTACTTGTTTCTGCCTTAATTTCGTTAGTTACCCAGAAGTCATTCAGCAGCAGGTTGTTCAGTTGCCATGTAGTTATGCGGTTTTGAGTGAGTTTTTTTAATCCTGAGTTTTAGTTTGATTGCACTGTGGTCTGAGAGACTGTTTGTTATGATTTCCGTTCTTTTGCATTTGCTGAGGAGTGTTTTACTTCCAATTATGTGGTTGATTTTAGAATAAGTGCTGTGTGGTGCTGAGAAGAAAGTATATTCTGTGGATTTGGGGTAGAGAGTTTTGTAAATGTCTATTAAGTCTGCTTGGTCTGGACCTGAGTTCAAGTCCTGAATATCCTTGTTAATTTTCTGTGTTGTTGATCTGTGTAATATTGACAGAGGGGTGTTAAAATCTGCCACTATTGTCTGGGAGTCTAAGTCTTTTTGTAGGTCTCTAAGAACTTGCTTCATGACTCTGAGTGCTCCTGTATTAGGCGCATATATATTTAGGATAGTTAGCTCTTCTTGTTGCATGGATACCTTTACCATTATGTAATACCCTCTTTGTCTTTTTTGATCTTTGTTGGTTTAAAATCTGTTTTATCAGAAACTAGGATTGCAACCCTGGCTTTTTTTTTTTTTTTTGCTTCCCATTTCCTTGGTAAATCTTCTGTTCCTTTATTTTGAGCCTATGTGTCTTTGCACATGAGTTGGGTCTCCTGAATACAGCACACGAATGGGTCTTGACTCTTTATCCAATTTGTCATTCTTCGCCTTTTAACTGGGGCATTTAGCCCACTTACATTTGATGTTAATATTGTATGTGAATTTGATCCTATCATTATGATGCTAGCTATTTTGCCCATTAGTTGATGCAGATTCTTCATAGTGTCGATGGTCTTTACAATTTGATATGTTTTTGCAGTGAATGTTACTGGTTTTTCCTTTTCATATTGAGTGCTTCCTTCGGGAGCTCTCATAAGACAGTCCTGGTGGTGACAAAAATCCCTCAGCGTTTGCTTGTCAGTAAAGGATTTTATTTCTCTTTCACTTATGAAGCTTCGTTTGGCTGGGTATGAAATTCTGGGCTGAAAATTCTTTAAGAATGTTGAATTTTGGCCCCTACTCTCTTCTGGCTTGTAGGGTTTCTGCCAGGAATTGTGCTGTGAGTCTGATGGGCTTCTGTTTGTGAGTAACCCAACCTTTCTCTCTGGCTGCCCTTAACATTTTTTCCTCCATTTCAATCTTGGTGAATCTGATGATTATATGTCTTGGGGTTGCTCTTCTTGAGGGATATCTTTGTGGTGTTCTCTGTGTTTGCTGAATTTGAATGTTGACCTGTCTTGCTAGCTTAGGGAAGTTTTGGATAATATTCTGAAGTGTGTTTTCCTACTTGGTTCTGTTCTCCCCATCACTTTCAGGTACACCAGTCAAACATAGGTTTGGTCTTTTCAGAAAGTCCAGTATTTCTCGGAGGCTTTGTTTATTCCTTTTCATTCTCTTTTCTCTAGTCTTGTTTTCATGTTTTATTTCATTAGTTTGATCTTTATTCTCTGATATCCTTTCTTCCACTTTATCAATTTAGCTATTGATACTTGTGTATGCTTTATGAAGTTCTTGTGCTGTGTTTTTCAGCTCCATCAGGTCATTTACATTCTTCTCTAAACTGGTTATTCTAGTTAGTAATTCGTCTAATCTTTTTTTCAAGGTTCTTCTTTGCATTAGGTTAGAACATGCTGCTTTAGCTCAGAGGAGTTTGTTATTACCTAACTTCTGAATCCTGCTTCTGTCAATTCATTAAACTCATTCTTTATCCAGTGTTGTTCCTTTGCTCACGAGGAGTTGTGATCCTTTGGAGGAGAAGAGGCATTCTGGTTTTTGGAATTTTCAGCCTTTTTGTGCTGGTTGTTCCTCAGTTTTTGGATTTATCTACCTTTGGTCTTTGCTGTTGGTGACCTTTGGATGGAGTTTTTGTGTGGTCATCTTCTTTGTTGATGTTGATGCTATTGCTTTCTGTTTGTTAGTTTTCCTTCTAACAGTCAGGCCCCCCTTCTGCCGGTGTGCTGGAGTTTGCTGGGGGTCCACTCCAGACCTTGTTTGCCAAGGTATCACCAGCAGAGGCTGCAGAACAGCGAATTTTGCTGCCTGATTTTTTTCTCTGGAAGGTTTGTCTCAGAGGGACACCCGCCTGATTCCAGCTGGAGCTCTCCTCTATGATGTGTCTGTCGACCTCTGCTGGGAGGTGTTTTCTCATCAGGAGGCATGGGGTTCAGGGAGCCACTTGAGGAGGCAGTCTGAGCCTTAGAGCTCAAGTGCTATGCTGGGAGATTGTCTTCAGAGCCAGCAGGCAGAAACATTTAGGTCTGCTGTAGTTGCGCCTACAGCTGCCGCTTCCCCCAGGTGCTCTGTCTCAGGGAGATGGGAGTTTTATCTATAAGCCCCAACTGCGGCTGCTGTCTTTCTTTCAGAGATGTCCTGCTGAGAGAGGAGGAATCTGGAGAGAGTCTGGCTACAGAGGCTTTCTGGTGCTGTGGTGGGCTCTACCCAGTCTGAACTTCCTGGAGGTTTTCTTTACACTGTGAAGGGAAAACCACCTACTCAAGCCACAGTAATGGTGGATGCCCCTCCCCACATCAAGCTTGAGTGTCCCAGGTGGACTTCAGACTGCTGTGCTGGCAGCGAGAATTTCAAGTCAGTGGATCTTAGCTTGCTGGGCTCCTTGGGGGTGGGTTCCGCTGAGCAAGACCACTTGGCTCCCTGGTTTCAGCCCCCTTTCCAGGGCAGTGAACGGTTCTGACCAACTGTGTTCCAGGCATCCCTGGGGTATGGAAAAAAAAAAACTGCAGCTAGCTCGGTGTCAGCCCATATGGCCGTGCAGCTTTGTGCTTGAAATCCAGGGTATAGGCATCTGAGGGAATCTCCTGGTTTGGGGGTTGCAAAGACCCTGGGAAAAGCATAGTATTTGGGCCAGAGTGCACCGTCCGTCAAGGCATGGTCCGTCATGACTTCCCTTGGCTAGAGGAGGGAGTTCCCGACCCCTTGCACTTCACGGGTTGGGCAACGTCACACCCTCCTGCTCGCCCTCCATGGGCTGCACCCACTGTCTAACTAGTTCCAATGAGATCAACTGGGAACCTCAGTTGGAAATGCAGAAATCACCCCCTTCTGTGTTGGTATCTCTGGGGACTGCAGACAGGAGGTGTTCCTATTTGGCCATGTTGCCCCAATCATCCTGCTCTTTTTTTTTTTTTTTTTTTTTTTTTTTTAAAGTGGAATCTCCCTATGTTGCCCAGGCTGGTCTTGAACTCTGAGCTCAAGTAATCTTCCCACCTCAGCCTCCTGAGTAGCTGGGACTACAGGCATGCCCCACTGTGCCTGGTTTTTGCCTATTTTTAAACTGGGTTATTTTTTTCCTCTCTTCTTCCCTTCATTTCTTTCTTGTAGAATTCTTAGTTACTTTGTGCATTTAGAAGATTCTGTTGTGCTTGGGCTTCTCGATTCATTGTTAAGAAGCTGCCATTTTCACCATGATCTTTTGAAGGTTATGTGTTTTCATCTGAGCTTTTTAAAATTCCTTTCAGTTTCAGAATGTGGTTACTTATTATTCATCTCACTTGCAATTCATTTTTCTTGTTAATTGTGTGAATTGGTCTTTTTCATCATGTCTAAACTGTGGTTTCCTTAAATATGTAGTCTGAAAACATCATTAAATTCAGTCAACTTTAACTCCTCCTCCCTTTGCCTCAGAGGCTGTCAAGATGTAGGTTCTAGTCTTCTAGGATTAGCAAGTGCTTTCAGATTACAAGTGGATTTGCTTGTTTTCTTTTTGGGTTCTCCTTTTTTTGGTTCACTTTTGACCTGATATAGATGTCTTTACATTTTACACAATAATTTTAGGTATTTTCAGTGGGAAGTTAATAACCTAGTATGCCATTACTGAAAATAGAAACTCGTATGTCTCAACTTCTTTATAAAACAAACATGATACTATTTTATTTTCCTGATAATATGAGAGATATACCATGTAAGAACAGTTGGGATGTCTTAGTTTTTTTTTTTTTTTTTTTTTAAAGTTCAATGTTTATAGACATACTTATAGAAATGACTGAATTAGAACACATTAAATAAAATTGTTACACACCAGGAAGGGATTTAGGCAAGGAAAGGCACATCATATTACCACAAGAAATAAAGACCATAGTTGGAGGTTGATGGACAGCCAAACTTTAGATCTTGTGGTAGGTTTCCCAGCTCTGGAGGGTCATTATGGTGAACCGTTCTTTATGGTACTGGGCTAGAGTAACTAAATAGCAGTTGGGGAATGTTACTTTGTAACTGTAATATAAGTTAAAAAGAAAGCACACTTTGAATAACCCTGGTATGTGAAGAGGAAAGGAAAAACATCCCAAATGATTTGGTGGTACTAAAAATTTTATGGAGAGTTAAAAATAATAATCCTTGTCTGGCTGAATTGGAATTCTTGCAGTTACAAAGTGAAAATTTCGAGTAAACATTGTATTTTTCACTTTTTGTAGACAGACACCAGTGCAGATATAAACAGCTGCCATATCTCACCTCAGATGAAGCTATGTGCCAATGCTTAGGGAAAATGATATTAGATAATTTCCCAATTTTATAATGCTTAAGTCTTTGAAAGTAGCACTAATACTGCTGGCTGACTGGCTATCTACAACAGCAAAGTGAACATGAAGTTTGGACAATGATGAGAGGTTTCCCAGAGAAATTATTAGAGAGTTTTCAGTTGAATAGATAGTTACTTTAGTTTTACAGAAAAGTCTAACAGACATTAGCAGAACTTGTTTGGGTCAAATTCCTCTGCCAATTATCTTTCATAAATATGTGTCAAGTCTCTATCCATTTCTTTCTGTCTAGACCTATATTAGTTTATTTGAAAGATGGCATCACTTAAAGTAAACCACATAAATTTTAGTGGTATTAAGTGTGTATTTAGTGGTGTATGAGTATAAATAAAATAGATTTTCATAATAAAATGGTATATCCACAAATAAAATAAAAATTAAAAACAACTGAGAAGGAGGTGAGGAAAGTATTTTAAAAAAATAAAATGGCAATTGTAAAGCAGGCAGTTTCTTGCTGAGGCCACACGATATGCCTTCATTAATGTGTACTCTTTCCGGTTGGTGTGAGCAGCCCAGATGAAGAGAGCAGAAGCCATGAGCTGTAAGGGAGCTGAGACACAAGCCAGGCAGAAGGACCATCCAAATTCACCCGATACATTGTCAGGGAGCTCTAGTTTCTGGTGGAGTAGTTCAATTCCAGCAACATAACAACTTACTGAGCCCAGTGTACACAGACCTGCAAGGAGATGGAGAATGCCCTTGGCGACGGTGGGATATAAGCTTCGGCAAATGCAAGCACAAAGTCCAATCAAAGCCCCGAAGCACATCAAACCTAAACTCACAAAAGGCAGAAGGAACTGGCAACGCCACAGATAGGTCCTAAGTAGATCAATCCCGCTATTGTGGTTTCCGGGACCAACAAATTTCTCCATGAACTGCTCCGTCAGTGTGAAACTCACACATTTTGTGACCACATCAAATGACTCTGTCCTTTGTGGTGGGCTATACCAATGCATGTTTTTGGATATGATGATATACCGTCTCCACAATCCCACTGTGCCATTGTATCGAAAAAGTGCATCATTATAAGTCTTTTCATCTGCCTCATCACTAACGAATTCATCCCAGATGCTTTTATTCAAATCACTGGAATTTTCTTGAACTGGACTTCGATATTCATACCAGAAGTCTGTGCCAATGGAGGCTGTTATGTAGATGGTGGAAATGAGGCTAAGCACACAAGCAATAACAAACGCTGTAGCAAAACGGTTATCCATTCTGGCATTCAGACTGCTCGCCCATCCTCCTGCACAGCCGGCTTCACCCTCTAGCTCAGACCACAGCACCCTACTCTCCCCGCGCCTCCTCTGACCTAGTTTTTTTTTTTTTTCAAATGGTGGGGAGAGAGACATTTCAGGTTATTTTAGGGATAACCAGTTAAGAGTACATGGGGCAATAAGGATGCACAGAAGTGTCTTAACAGCTAAACAGATTTTATGGAGCAGTGGAACATTGTTCAGCCTACAATAGCAACCGAACAATGAGCCCTTCCTATGACTTACTCCCTGAATCTTTGCTTCTCTGTTACTGTTCTAGTAGTCAGTAGCAGTTTGGGGTACTTCTTGTGGTAAGCAATGCCATTGGCAATGGGCAACAGACCTTGTATGTCTTCCTTTCAATGAGAGATGGATGTCTTCCTTCAAACTAAAATTGTTTCCCTGATACTATCAGTTGTGAGGAAGATTACAAAAGGTCGTATGACCTGAAATATGGTGACTGAATCCATTAGGACCTACTCAGTCTACTTTCCTGAAGAAGGTTGTGGGTACTGTAAGTGCTCAGAGCATTGTAACAGTTCTCTCCAGGGAGCTACTTTTGTTTTTTAATTTTTTTCTCCTGAAACAAGGTCTCGCTGTGTCACCCATGCTGGACTGCAGTGGTGCAATTTGGGCTGACTGCAATAGTGTTTTATGTTTATGTTAAAATATATAGTAAAACAGTATTCTTCACGGTTAAATTGGGATTTAAATATTGATGTTTTACTGTTCTTTTTTGGATAACTTTCTCATTTTGCACTGAAAGACATAGCATTCAGTTCAGTAGAATTGTTTTTCTTACTGAAAGAATGAATAAACATTTAAGGATAGTGTATTGTTAAATAAGAAAAACAATTATATATTTATAAACTTCCCCAATAAGATCAAATTTTATAAAATATTCTGATATTTTGGACAAAGAATGGAACTCAACTTTGAGTTTAGTAAGCTTTAAAGTATTTTTTTTTATAACGACACAGCAATGTTTTTATTAGCAGAAATATTCAGGACTGTTATAGTCTTTATGTGCATTATACATTGTTATTTTGATAATAGCTCACTGTTTAAATTTAGGTAACAGATTAAAGTTTAATTTGCTAAATTTAAATTTAAATTTCGGTTATTTGCCTCAAACTGCAGATGTTAAACATTCCAGAACCATACATTTCTTTTTTCTCCCTTGTTCAATGTTTCAACAGTAATTTCAAAAAATATTACTTATTTTTTGCCACCTGGTTAGGTATTAATGATAAAAAAATTCATGTTTATGCAGGACTTTACAAGGTGAAATATTTTCAGTGTGTTGTATATCATTCCATGTTTGTGATAATTATGTTTAAAAGTTATTTTATGGGTGAGTAAACTGAGGTTCTGAAAGTTACTTATTGAAATTTCTGTAGCCAGCATACAGTAGAATTAAGGCTGTGAAATAGGATTTCTTTTTCTAAATTTAGGATTGTTTACTTTTGATAACATGGAATATGTTATATATACAAAACTATATATGTATACACACACACACACACACACACACACACACACACACGTAGTTCATATTTTTCAGAAGCTTTCTGTAGGTAAAGAAAGCAAAAACAAAACCAGGTTCATAAAGGACAGATGAAGCATTATATAATCTAAAGAACCCTGGACTAGAAGTTAAGAGGCTTGACTGCTTTTTATCATTATTCTTAACTAGCTGTATGATGGTGAACAACTTAAGTAAACTTTTTTACAATGAAACTTTGGACTAGATCTGTGTTCTTTTCCAGCTTTAAAATGTTTTGATTCTATGAACCTGTGATAGTTTCTTCTATTTAATGTTTAATATTTTTATGGTGTTGCAAGCATAAGAGGTCAGGATTGTTCATGTTTACGATGGACACTTTATTTTCACTGTTATTAAACATTAGACTTCATTTTCTAGACTCCTTTATTGTAATAAAAAAAATTACACCGTAGAGACAGCTTAGTTGAATAAGTTTAACCAAATAATTACAAAGGGAGACAGAAAGGAAAGAAGAGAAAATGTGCATTGTTACATTTTGGAATCTTTATTTCAAATATTTAATTTTTCCTTGATTGACTTATAATCATTCTTAGCTTAGAGGTTTGTCTTAGAACCTTGCTGCCTTTCAAAATGTTTTAAAGTCTAAGGACTTTTTGGAACTTTGTTTATATCTTAACCATTGATATTCTGTTTACTTTGTGTAGCCTTTTTTTTTTTTTTTTTTTTTTTTTTGAGACGGAGTTTCGCTCTTCTTACCCAGGCTGGAGTGCAATGGCGTGATCTCGGCTCACCGCAACCTCCGCCTCCCGGGTTCAGGCAATTCTCCTGCCCCAGCCTCCTGAGTCGCTGGGATTACAGGCACACGCCACCATGCCCAGCTAATTTTTTGTATTTTTAGTAGAGACGGGGTTTCACCACGTTGACCAGGATGGTCTCGATCTCTTGACCTCGTGATCCACCCGCCTCGGCCTCCCACAGTGCTGGGATTACAGGCTTGAGCCACCGCGCCTGGCCTGCCTTTTTTTTTTTTTTTTTTTACACATTGGAGAAACTTTAATCTTTATTATTTGAGTTTTTAATTAATTTAAGTGTGCATGGTCTAAGAAAGCAAAAACTTTTTTCCCAAGTGGAAGCTTCTGGCTTCATTTATGGACATGAATACATCAGTTGAATTTAATTATCAACTTGAGGATCATCTCTATATTAGTTCATTTTAGAAATATTGTTTGCTTACGAACCTCAGTTTTTTCAGAACAGTTGCTTGAAAAGCTTACTGTCTTTTACGTAGGATATATATATATATTTAAACTTTCAAATTAAGAAACTTTATGGCTTTTTTTTTTTTTTTTTTTTTTTCTGTTGCCCAGGCTGGAGTGCAGTGTCACAATCTTGAGCTCAGCTCACTGCAACCTCCGCCTCCCTGGTTCAAGTGATTCTGCTGCCTCAGCCTCCCGGGTAGCCGGGACTACAGGTGCTTGCCACCAAGCCCAGCTAATTTTTGTACTATTATTATTTTTTTGAGATGGAATCTCACTCCGTTGCCTAGGCTGGAGTGCAGTGGCATGATCTCAGCTCACTACAACCTCCGCCTCCCAGCTTCAAGTGATTTTCCTGCCTCAGCCTCCCAAGTAGCTGGGATTACAGGTGTGCACCACCAAGCCCATCTAATTTTTGTATTTTTAGTGGAGACGAGGGTTCACTGTATTAGGCTGATCTCAAACTCCTGATGTCATGATCCGCCCTCCTCGGCCTCCCAAAGTGCTGGGATTACAGGCATGAACCACGGCGCCTGGCCATTTTTGTAATTTTAATAGAGGCAGAGTTTTATCATGTAGGCCAGGCTGGTCTCGAGCTCCTGACCTCAAATGATCCACCCATCTTGGCCTCCCAAAGTGCTGGGATTACAGGCATGCGCCACCATGCCCAGCTGAAAACTTGAGTTTTTAATCTTTTAACTCATAAGTTTTTAACACTTTTTGATCATATAAAAGTTAAAAAATATATACAATAGCTTTATTGATATTTCATGTACCTATCATATGTTTTATTTTTAGCTTTTTAAACTGTTAACCATTTCAGTGCTTAACTTTTTATTTTTAAATCAGACTTTTTTTTTGGCTTTCATGCTTTTAATTTAACTTAATGCCAAAATTGCATAAGTATGGAAGTTTGAGAAAATTTGGAATGAAGGAGGAAATTATCCATAAAGCTTTCTTTTTTTTTTAAAAAAATATATGTCTTATGTGTACATATTTTTCACCATGGAATATTGTAGGATTCATTTTTGTTTTTAGTTGTATATCAATTTTACCTACATTTTTATATGGAATGGAAACTTATTTTACTGCCTTTTTTCCCACTGGACAAGTAGAATGAAAGAGGAAGAGGATGCATGGCAACAGCAAGCATAAAATGTCCTTCTCCTCAAACATTGTAAAGACATAAAGAGCATCTAGGATAGCAAAACCAAAATCCAAACAAACCCATGCTGGTGAAAATGATGCTGGGCTAATTTGGGCTCTAGTTTTTAGGGGGCTCAGCAGCTTTTATTTCTTCTGTGGGAAAGCCACCATGCTGTGAGGGAGCTCAACCTAACCCTATGAGGTTGACACGTAGAGAAGCCCTGAGTCATTAGACATGTGAGTGAAGCTTCTTTTGTATTGTCCAGACCAGCCTAGTTAGCTGAATGCAGCAGAGTGATCCCAGGTGGTACCACGTGGAGCAGTTGAACCCTTCCTGAATTCCTGACCCACAGAGTGTAAAACAAGTCATTTTTAGCTGCAAAGTTTTGGGTTGGTTACTTATGCTGCAGCAGATAATTGATATACCAGCCAAACTGATTTTCAAATATAGAGACTGCCATCAACATGCAAGAATGCAGGCAATATTGCTCCCATGAACTTTTTCTTAGGATAATAGATAATAGATAATGCACTTCAGATAATCAAAGTGACTAGAAAAAAATCACTGTGAGACTAATGTTAAGCACAAAAACTAGGATTAAGTGGGGTTATAAAGAACAGTATGTAATGACTGTATGTTTTGGCAAAGAAATATAATTCAGCTGTAAAAAAAAGTGGGAAGACCATATGCAAAAAATTTTAAAAACTATTTTTTGCCATCCTTCTTTGGATTGTAGTGTTGGTTTTGTTGATCAGGTATTTTCTGTGTATTGCGCAGCAAAGCAAATGAATACTTATACATTTTTCTAATTTTGTTATCTCCTGTGTCCTTAACAGCTAGGAGTCTCAATGTGGAAGAAATTATATAATTTATGTAGATGTAAGAAGGCTAAATCCTCTACTTCTGATTTTTAATTGGAAGTATCAGTATGAACTTGTGAGATATTTTAATGTTATTTAAAAATAGTATATACCTTATATTGGTGTGTGCATATATATTTGTACATATGTATATATATGTTAATCTAAGAATGCTTTGTATGTATTGTGGAATAAATCAAATGAATATGTGATATTTTAATGCTGACATTTCCTATCTATATCTGTGGAAAAGTCTTAGAAATGAACAAACCTAGTTCCAT